AGTGTTATCCGGCGGGACCCCCGGCGGTGGGTCCATCGTTTCTAAGTCCTCTTCGTCGACCGGGTCGATGAGGACGTTTCGCGGGCGACGTTTATTGACGTTCGCGTTATGTCGGGTTGCTAATTTGCTGCGCTTACCACCAGACGGTTGGAATGATGCTGGGCTCTATCGAAGAACCGTTTGGTCAAATCTTTAAAATGTGGGCGAATCATCGGGATTCTGCAATCGCTATGCAGGTCGACGTTGCGCTGAAACCATTGCGCACCGGTTGCGCGCCGGAACGTGTGTGAAGTTACGTTCCGTAAGTGTTATCTATAAAAACGGCAGAAAAATCATGTCTGTTGTATGGGAGTCCCACTAACATATTTTTTATTCTGTTTTTAGTATATGTTGTTATAGCGGCAACAGAAATACATCATCTATAAAAATTTCAACCATAAAACTAAGACAGTTCATGAGATACAGCCTGGTGACAGACGGACAGACAGATAGACAGCGAAGTCTTAGTAATAGGGTCCCGTTTTACCCTTTTCGTACAGAACCCTAAAAAGTGAGCTTCGGTTACTGCACTCACCGAAAGTAACAGAAGTATAATAACTAACTAAAATAAATAAACTAAATTTCTTTGTTTAATATTCGTAAATAACTTTTGCACAACTGTCTACCTCATTACCGTTGAAAGGCGTGAGTTGTCTTTGTTCATAATATAAAATACTACGCGAGCGTACATGAATGGGTATCTACTACCTACATTTTCACTTATATTACGCAAGTAAGCTTGAGATAATACAAAATAATACTGCCTAAAACTCTTTTTTTAACAATTTCGTGTAAGCTGAATTGATAGTAAAGCTATCCACGACCTTGTTTTAATCATCCCCCTTTACGTAATTTACCGTAACCCATTGATTATTCAAATGTCGATGAGCGCACCGCACGCCGATGTATTCGCAAATTCCATTCGTCTATTTATTTTGCCAATTCACTCTTTAACACCTTCTTACAGCCCGCTACACGTCCTGAATAAAATAACAGAACGAAACCCCATGAGCGAAGATTCAATGCTAAAACAAGTGGCCTGAATACTGATAAAGCTTTATTACCAATAACGAGCTTATCCGAATCCCATTTAGCTTTCACATTTTATAAATTGCCTCCTATTCAAAGAGAATGAAATTGTTAAATATTGAATATTCACAAGGAACACACACAATAGCCAAATAATTCGGTGTGGATCCTATCGTTGATTAATCTTAAATTACTGCTGAATTTTTCTATCCGATTAAGTCCTTAATATAAAGCGATCTAAGTCCTAAATTGTTAAATGAGAAAAGTAAATATAATTGTAGTTTATGATCCAATAAAGTAAATTACTACATGAAATATACGAGTAACTTGCATGGGGAATTAAATTTACCGCCTCATGAGTCGATTTATGTGGGGTTAATGTTCTGGTTTTCGTTTGCAGATAAGAGCGCCTTGATGCGTATACCTACATCGACGCTCGGAGTGATGAAAACTTCGAGCTCCCTTGGGCGTTCTCTCTTTTATTTCTGAAAGTTGTAAAAAGTAATGAGATATTTTATCTCTGAGGCTGCTTTTTCCATTGTACAAAGTTTGTTTAAGAAATCGTAGATCGCCCTTCGTAATCGCAAGATCTCCATCTACGATTACATTAGAATATTGCACGGTGGATTTTTATTGCCATCATCAAAATCAGAACCATTTGTTGAACAAGAAAAGAATTTGGAAGAGGTTGTAACGCCTAGTAAAAATTAATTTTAGTGGTGCGTAATAAGTTCATTACTGAAATATTGTTTTCTTTAGAACAAAAAAGTATTGCTTAATGAGTATGTTCAATTTGGTTTCTTTAAAGATTAATTTTTATTTTTGGTGTTATTCTCGGCGCTGAAGATGTAACTTTAAATTGTAATTTTTTGTAAATAATTGAACAAACCTACGGACGCAGGTTGGAATCCCGCAGCGACGAAAGTTTTTGTTCATTTATGTACAAAAATTTACAATTATATTTTTAATTTGTTAAGGACTTTTGGCTTCTGACTTAAAATAGAAGAATATTATAAAGACATTGGCTAATATAATATGTGAGACTAGCTGGTATTCGCGACTTCTTTTGCGTTTACATTAATAACTACACACTTTGTGGGACTTCTACACTGCAAAAAGAAAACACCCATTACAGAAAACGTAATGCTTATAAATATCGTAGTTTCTGAAAACTACTTAATGAAGATATCACAATTTTTTTTTTTCAAATAAGAGCGAAGTGTCTAAAACTGAGAAGGATTCATTGAAATCTGTTCAGTAGTCCGCGATTTTGGCACAGCCGCATACTTCTATCATTTTATTTATACAGATGTTTTTCTTCTTTTTAAAAATACATTCTCCTTACTTTAGGATAACGTTATCCTGTGTTGTAAGGACGCTATACAAGCATAAATTTTACATGGACAAACACCAAGATGCGAAACAAATATCTGTGGATCACACAAATAGTTGTCCCGTGTGGGAATCGAATCCACGACCCCCGACGCCGAAGCCAACACCTTGGCAACTGCGCCACGGAGTTATCAATCATTACATATGTACTAGTGTAAATACTCACAATGAATGCAGACAATCTCAATATTTACTAATTATTTTTGACAAAAGTAAGCTGCAGAAGCTCTGCATATAAATATTTCCTTAGATTCACCGACTTAGATTCAGACCAAAATAACTCCAAAAATATCAAGAACGAAATATCAAGTATCCACTGCTAAGGTAATTTTGAAACTGTTAATGTTATAAAGCTTATATAATTTTATTATTCTTTGGAACGGTAGCTTACGAAGCTTTAAATTTAATAACGCTTTTATAACACCGAATGTGTTATTGTCAGTTACTATCTATGCCAAAAATAGATTTTTTTATAAATTCAACTCAACGAAACTTTTAAATTTTAAAATGTTTATGAACTATAACTATTTGTAATAATTCTAGAGCATATACATTTTAAAATTTTAAGCCTCGTCTAAACTCATACTATTCATTCGTAGAACGGACTTTTACAACTTAAACATTTTTATGCATAGTATTTGTTGCGAATTAAATAGGTTTTGTTAAACGCCCTGTCCGTATGACTCTGGCCGGTACTACTCTATATTGTTTTACTTAAATTGATATAAGAAATCATAAAAATAATAATCACCTGCTATAATTTGACAACTGAATATTTATGCTAGGATATACTAGCGGAGGACTAGATTTGCTCTTGGACCATTAGATTGATTTTTGAAGACCAACTACGCTAACGAGAAAAAGTTTACCGGTCACCAAATATTCATACAAGCTATATTTTCAGTTTACTTCTTCATAAAAGGATTAGCATGATTTGAAAATATAAATAGCTTTGGCTGCACTAAAATTTTATTACTGGTATAATGGAACAAAAATCAAAATGAAGCCGAAAAATGTACGAACCTCGAAGGCTTTGCGATTCAACACCCGCCACAAGGTAATATTTCATTCAGACACAGGACGCGAACATAAATTTTTGCACATAACTTTACATATAGTACATTTTAGGAGAAGATGTTTGAATAAAATTGCCACCGATGCACATTTTTTGTAACATCTTTTTAGAATTTGAAAGGGACCAATAATTTTTGCACATTCACATCATCTTGTCTATTATTATTCTTTTTACACATACACATCATATATTTCATGCATATGTTCGCTTTAAATGTAGAATACAAAATCCTCAACAAATATTCTAGGAGCAATAATATTTTAATAGAAGTCTTTACTGAGCAAAATATTCGTGTAAGGGTCAGATTGTACTCCGATTGTTCGATTTCATTGATGTTCCGTCTAACCTTTTAATCTATCTCGAAGGGTAGACTTTACAGAGAGTTGGGGATGGCAGATAAAGTAAGGTATTTCCGGCAAAAGTTTCCGATAACGGGCTTATAACATTAAAACGTGCTGTGCTTTCAAGTAAAGTATCAAACCACACTTGGGCAAAGGCCTCATCGGTACAATGGGGTATTAGGACATAGTCCACCAAGCGGTTAAAACACTTCACACATCTTCGAAATATTTATTTTTTGTTATTTTATGTATATATATTTTTATATAAATATTTATTTTTTGTAATGTTAAACCACACTTGGGCAAAGGCCTCATCGGTACAATGGGGTATTAGGACATAGTCCATCAAGCGGTTAAAACACTTCACACATCTTCGAAATATTTATTTTTTGTTATTATTTAGAAAATAGGCGGGTTTTCTCACGATGTTTTCCTTCTCTACTGAGCACGTGGTAAGTTAGCACTTAAAATTAACAATTTCATTGGTGTTGCCACCGGGATTTGAACTCAAGTTGCTCGACTGTAATGAATTAAAAGTGGGCACTGAGCTATCACGACTCTCGTGCTTTGAAGACATCATTCAAATCAGACACAAGAAACAAGTTGTAAGTTTGTACCAAATTTTAATCACAAGAAATTTGAAAGGGTTTAAATGTTTACATTATAGTATTTACATTAATTTTCATAGATATCTGCTAAGTTTTGCATCTCATGGTCTCACAAAAAACTGAGGAAAAGTTTGAAGTATCTGCTTTTCCTTTAGTGTTTGAAGTAACTGGGTTCATTCGCCTAAAGTTAAGCAACGCAACTGAATACAAACGCATTTTGTGATGTCTATATTAGGCGGTAATGACTTATAATGTATCATATAATTATAATATGGACCACTTAATAACCACCTTATAAAGAGCGCAAATTTGATCTTATATGAATGCATAATATTCGATTACAGCAGTACGATTAAAATTCATATGTATATATGTTAAAACTCAAGTCTGGCACAAGAGGAGTAGGTAGAGATTACGGATTTTCAGTTTTAACCATCTTATTTACATACCTTTACTATTTCATATTTATTTATTTTTAAACGCTTTTTTTGGTACAAACGACAGGTTAAATGTCATATGGCATTTTCTACCAGCCAACCGGAAAGTAAGTGAGAGAAAGAAAATTCCATACTTAAAGAAAATAATAACATTTTTAAAATTCATTAACATTTATATATATATATATATATATATATTATTACATAAATAAGACTATTAATTAAAAGTAGAAGAATATCGCCCGTATTCAGCTCATCTGCAGTTGCTACATCTAAAGATACCACATCCAACCCCCTTCTTGTCTCCACACGATCCTTACCGTACGTCATAAATTTTATCACTTCGATGACGGACGCAGCAAAGATCTTTTTTCGGTTTCACTGTCCGCAAAATTAACGAGCCGTAAACTTGCGAACAACGTTCCAAGGGTCCGCTTTTTCAGTCACAGATATTATCACTACGGATATACGGGCACTTATATTTTTATTCCCCGAACCAATATAACACTGCACGTATAAAATTCATACTTAGTATCGTCCCAGAGTTTTTCGTTCATATGTAGTCAAAGGTAACGCTTAACAAATTTAAAATCACCTCAATGAATAAAAGCGTCTCAGTAGAGGTAAGTCTTCGATGCGTTGAACTCTACGCTCGTAGCACCGTAGCAATTCCGGCGGTTGTCTAATAGTTTGTGGCGGTGTTGACGATCGTTGCGTCTGAAACGTCAAACGGTACGGCGGCCCGCGTCCAGGTGTTCGCGTGGTCGGCGGTCGCTCGCCTGGCGGCCAGCTGCGGACTGCGCGGGTTACGATGGCACCGCTAGCACGCCCGACGCCTCCCGCGCCCTGCCGCGGCGCACGCGCCCCGCCGAGATCGATACACCCCGCCCCAACCATCGTCGCGCCCGCCGGGGGCAACCGCCCCACACGCATCCGTCGCGACGCCAACTCTTAAGGCATGCTCGTTCTTCTTCAGCTCCCTTTCACCTCTCCCTATCGGGTCCAACTTGGAAATAAAAAATACACATCGCATCGGCTTGAAATTACAACAGCTACCGACGCTGCGAAGGCGCTAAAGTTAATTGTTCTCCCGTGTCCCTTACGACATAACGGCTGGACTGACTGGTGCACTGATTTGCGATCTGAGATAATGGGTTTGAATCCCAGTGAGTTTCGTTTTCAAGTATTTAAAAGTGTACGTAATTACTCGATACCTTCCAAGCCTGCATCACGGTTACAGGGTTAACCTGTCATGTTCGGTTATAAGTTCAGTAAGAAGTGAATTAATTATGTTGTATGTCAGCATCCCGTAACAAATTTAAAGTCTACCTTTACTTACCGTATTTTATTCCAAAAATATGTCAAAATTTTATGCCACCAATTGAATCGCAAATTCCTTTTAATGCTGATGATAATATTTTTTATTAGTTAACAAAATTTCAAATAAATACTGAATTACAAATGGAAATATATTGTATCTTCTATGGATGAACATTGTATGTTTGCTCTTTAAATTAGCGAACATTTTGTATTGTGTAATATACATACTTGTTTATTATAATATACAAAATGCTGTGCCAATTTGGTGCCCAAAATAATATATTAAAACAAGGCAACTAATAGATCCATGGAAAAATTTCATGATCTATAATGAAAATATTATGAGATATTATTAAGGTTAAAGTTATTTATTCTCAAAATATGTTTAAGAACTGAAAATTGATGTGTTATGACTAACCTGGTCATAACACATCAATTTGATTTCATTTGATTTTATTTCAAGAACCTTCTTGATGACCCTACGACTTTTTTTCGAAGCCCCCAAAGCAATTGATCGTAGCCAAGCTGTTAACAATTTACTCTACCGCTTTCACCAAAATCGTTATTAATATAAATAAGTAATTGTGCCATATATATCAGTGCATTCTATCTCTGGACCATCGCCAACCACTCTTGCCTAGTAACCATATATCCTCCCCTTTAAACAAAACGACCATTAAGACACAAAGTAAGGAAAAAACTAAATTAAACTTGTCATTCTCAAATGTAACACTACATACTTAGTTATATTGTAAGTGGAAAGCTATAAAAGTGAACTAACTTAGTTCTGTGATGTGTGAGATATAAGTCATCTCTTTTTAAAGTAAACGCCTTCTGATGCTTGAGATGTTGCATGTTTATTTATAGAGAGATCTGTAGAATAACCACAAAAAAATAGAAGTCTCATATATTTAAAATCTAACGAGTTAGGCAATGATACCTAATGCTTTTCACGTTCCACCGAGCTTATTTAGTATCAAACGTGACTGTGGAAAAGGCTCTGTTAGTCATGAACGCTAGTTATGTGAGATGGATATATGTGAACGTAAAAAATCTTAAAATGGAAATCCACTCTTATGGAACAGGAAGTCCGTTCTACGACCAAAGTATCTCAAAGGAAATTTTCAAAGGTTGTTTTGTTGCTACCAACAAACCTGCACACGTTGGAACTCCCTGGGTACTCATCCATATTTAGTTTATGTTGATTGGTAATCTCAGATTATACATACTCTTTTGATATCAACTCTGATCTTCTTGGTTTTTGTATTATGTTTGAATTACTTTAAATTAAATTTAGAATGTTAGTTTTATTTTTTCAGACTGATTTGTGTCATATTTGATTAATTCCGTTAATATCGTTTGGAGAAGTAACATGTCTAGCTGTCTAATATAACTCTTGTATTTTACATAAATTTCATAATTATTACATTTGGTCTAAAATAAGTCCAAAATGTTAAAATCGAAATAAATAGTTTTCCTATCAGTCCTTAAGTGTCTTTTTGGTTTGAAAATGATCCCATCAGCCACATCTACCATTCAAGAGGTTATGGGCCTATAAATATTTATATTTTTGGAGTTTTTGCAGTTTTTGAACAAAAGTGACAGCTTCGAAAAAATTTTCAAAGATGGACAAGCCCATCAAACCATTGTTATCGAAAAATTCTAACTACCATAGCTGGAAACAAAAGATTACTTTGAAAATAACTGCTGCGGGTTTTGAAAATATTTTGGTAAATAATGAGCAGACTGCGACCACCACAAGTGAGGAATTATCCATAAATAAAATGGAGGCATGGGGTAAGTCATTAATTTAAGGTCAATAGATCCAGACCTAGAGAATTACGTGATTACGAAAGATACGACATTTTCAATGTTGAAGAAACTGGATGAGATTTTTCTAGCAAACAGAGACCTGCAAATCAGTGAATTTCTTAATGAGTTTTACACTTTTACATTTAATTCGGAGGATATGTTGACGGCTATTGGGCGTATTGAGCTTATAGTAAATAAATTGAAGTCATTAGATCACAAATTATCGAATGTAGAGATAACAACAAGAATTATTTCAATATTACCGGCTGAATACAAAGCTTTTAGATTAGCGTGGGATGCAACCCCATCTGAGAATAGAACCGTGGAGAACCTTGTCTCTAGACTTTACAAAGAGGAAAGGTTAGAAAAAGCAAATACAGCTACTACCGTGTTTAAAGCAAATGAGAGGGAGTGCTTCATATGTAAGTCTAAGGAGCACATTGCCAAGTTCTGTCCTAAAAATAATTTCGCACGGCAATATAATTGCAATTGTAATTGCAGTCAAAATAAAACTTCAAATTATTTCTGCACTTTCTGTAAGAGACCTGGCCATACTGCGGATATATGTTTTAAAAGAAATAATGGAAGAAGTAAGAATTATAAACCAAATAATGTGAGTATACACGCTGTTTTAGATTCTGGTGCTACATCACATATGTTCAAAGACAGTTCACTTTTATACAATTTGAAATATTTAAATACACCTATAGCTTGCGCTCATAATATGACGATGAATGCAGAAGCAATTGGTAGTTGTATTACTGACACCTGTACTTTAGAAGGAGTGTTACATGTACCTAAGATTGCTAAAAATATTATTTCGGTTAGCAGCTTAACAGACAGAAATTTTAAAATAATTTTCTATAAAAATGTAGCAGTAGTAAAGAAAGAAGAGCAAAAAGTACTAGTAGCGCATAGGAACAATAATGGCCTCTATATTACGAAACTAAATGCAATTTTTCCAACTGTCTCGGCGTTGCTGGTTGAAAGTGAAAATATTTGGCACAGACGGTTAGCTCATTTGAGCAATGTTAGAGAAACAGCAAAGAACGTTGTAGGTTTAAACCTGTCTAGTTCTGACTTCATATCAAAGTCCTGCGAAGTTTGTCATCAAGCTAAATTATGTAGGCTTCCTTTCAAAACTGTACGGCATTTAGCTAATAGACCACTAGAAATTATTCATACTGATATTTGTGGTCCAATTGACTGTCAGACATGGGATGGTAGGAGATATTTTGTTACCTTTCTCGATGATTTTACTCACTACGCAAGGGTTTATCTTTTAAGAAATAAATCAGATATAATAGGTTGCATTTTACATTTTATTCGTTGGGCTGAAAGACATTTTAATCAAAAAATTGAAAAACTACGGTGCGATAATGGAGGTGAATACTGCAGTAGCCAGCTAGTTAAGTGGTGTCAGGATAGGGGTATAATGCTAGATTATACTGTGCCATATACTCCTCAGTTAAATGGTAAAGCTGAAAGACTAAATAGAACTCTAATGGAGAAAAGAAAAGCTCTTATGTTTGATTCTAAGATGCCTAAATTTCTTTGGGGTGAAGCTCTATTTACAGCTGTGTACCTTCATAATAGAGTATGTACGTCTACGAAAGATAAAACGCCTTTTGAGCTATGGCATGGTAGGAAGCCGGACTTATCTAATATAAAGGTTTATGGTTCTAAAGCATATTATAAAATAAATAGACGTATAGGTAAATTGGATAAACGTTGTGAGATGGGTTTGTTGGTCGGTTATGATGCTAATTCCTATATAATTTGGAATCCACGCGTCAGGAAAACGTTAGATTCAAGGGATGTCGTTTTTGATGAAAATATGAATGACTATGCTTCGATTTGTAAAAATTTTGGTGGTGTGGCTAATAATTATTTTTTGTGCGGATTTGTTTAGTGATTTAGATATTGAAGAAGGAGATATTTTACGAGAATTTTCTAGTGATGAAGAAGAAACAATTGAAAAAGGAGGAATTCAAAAGGAAACAATTGACGGTGTTGAAAATGAAGAGAGTACAGAAACAAATGAAGTAGTTTGTGAAGAAACAATTGAAGATGTGAGGAATGTGGATTCTGTTGATGATCTGAATGAGGAAGTTATAGAGAATAGAGGAGATTTTGATGATTTTTTAGATGATGCAAGTGAGGATAGAATAGAGGACGTTGTTGATGTTTTTAGTGATGCTGAAGACACAAATGAAGAGACGGAAGTTGTTGCGGAGAGTGTTGGTCCAAGGAGGAATCCACCGAGAAATAGGTGTTTACCTGAGAAGTATAAAGATTATGTTATGGATTTTTTGGCCGAGTGTGCACTTTTAACGTTTGAGGAAGCAGTTAACTCCAGTGAAAAGGAGAAATGGTTGAAAGCTATAGAAGAAGAGAAATTTTCCTTAGAGAAGAATGGCACATGGGAGTTGTTTGATGAAAAAGAAGCTGAAGGAAGAAAACTTTTAACAAGCAAGTGGGTCTTTGCTAAGAAGTCGGATGGAAGATATAAAGCTAGATTAGTAGTCAGAGGTTTTTAACAGAAATATAAAGTGGACTATGAGGAAACCTATAGTCCTGTGGTGAACAATACTTCGCTGAGAATTATTTTATTGATAGCAGCTCAGAAGAATTTAAAATTGAGACAATTCGATATCAAGACAGCATTTTTACATGGAAATCTAGAAGAGAAAATTTTTATGCAAGTTCCTAAAGGTTATGTTGAGAAGAAGGGGAAGATTTGTAGGTTGAAAAAGAATCTTTACGGTTTGAAACAAACTCCTTTGATGTGGAATATAAGGTTTACCAGTGTTCTGAAGA